TGCATAAACCCACCCAAGAACACCAAAACAATGAGATTTACAATATAAACCCTAAGGACAAGCTCTAAACATAATTAAATACAAGAACATACCAATACCTCACAGGGCCACCAAGAACATCAAGAATAATAACAATCCATATCACAAATCCCTAAAGACAAGCTCTAACAAAGAACAAATACAAATCATACATTCAATCGTTTAACGGAGCCAATCAATAAAAGATAGCAAGGAAAATAGGTTTTGTAAGCCATGGGTTACCTCTTAGCCTTAATCAACTTTCCCTTGGCTACTAAGGTCCTTCTCTGAAATTCTCCTTCGATTGATCTTCCTAGGCTCGGTGGTGGGGAATCCCTTTTGCTAGGTTTCTTGGGCAATTCGTGTATCGGAGTTGTGAGAGGTGAGAGGGTTCTAATTGCTTTCTAATCTCCTATTTATAGAGTCAGACAATCCTAATTAGAATCTGAATGGTAGAAGGTGTACACTCCTTGTTCTTATCCAGCTTAAAGTCTTTAATACAAATAAGGGTCCACGATCCATGGTGGACGGTACTAATTAATTGGGGGAATCCTAACCAAATTAAATCCCTTTTCAACCATTTGTTAACGGGATTGATTCAATAATTAATCTGGATTTGAAGGCCATAACACGGGGTGTTACAATATTGAAACCGTTAAGTGCAGTGATGGGATCCTTCTGTCTCAACAATGGTATATGCTTGACATTTTGAAACGTGCTGGTATGACTGATTGCAAACCTCTGTCCACCCCAATACCTGTTTCGGAATCTCTTGCTCACTCTACAGATTTATATGATGATCCAACGCAATATTGGAGCCTGGCTGGAGCTCTTCAGTATCTTACTATCACCAGACCAGATCTAATGGTTAATCAATTGTGTCAACACATGCATGCTCCTTCGGTCACCCATAGGGAACAAGCCAAACGTGTGTTAAGGTATGTCAAAGGGACTCTATCTTGTGGTATACGTATCCGAAAGTCTGAGTCCAGAGAATTGCATGCCTTCTCTGACTCAGACTGGGCTGGCTGCCTTGAGGATCGTAAGTCAACCAGTGGTTATGCTGATTTTCTTGGGTCAAATCTTCTGTCTTGGGTATGCAAGAAGCAAAGAACTGTGGCAAAATCCTCCACAGAGGCTGAATATAAGGGTTTAGCTGATGTTTGTGCTTAGGTAATCTGGGTTCTCTCCCCCTTACGAGAGATTGGCGTCACTGGGGTTTCTGTTCCGAAGCTGTGGTGCGATAATCTTGGTGCTACCTATCTATATTCTAATCCTATTTTTCATGCTCGCACTAAACATGTTGAGATTGATTATCATTTTGTGAGAGACAGAGTTGCCAAGAGTGAGATTCAAGTCAACTTTATCTCCACCAAAGATCAACTTGCTGATATATTTACAAAAGCTTTACGAGGTCCTAGGTTTTCTTTTCTTACAGATAAACTACAGGTTTCGTCTGTACCTTGTGCTTGAGGGAGAATATTATGACTCTATGTAACTGAGTCCATCTATGATTCACAATCCCAGTCTCCCTATGTCTCCTCTTGTATATATACCTAAGATCTGTACTCTTGTAATCAATTACTGTTCATATAATTCATTACAGTTCTCATCGTCCAAACAACAAAAATCTGAGTTTGGCTGAGCTCATAGCCTAATTGTTTTTATTTATTTTTTTTTTTTGGGATAAGTGTCAAATAAGCCTTCCAACTAATTATATACTAAAGTGCTATTAGACCATCGAACTAAAAAATTAATTAGACTATTAAATTTGTTAAAATTGTGCAATTAACATACTCCATATTTAAAAGGTTACCAAAAGGTAACCGGGGCAACATTGCTTGCATGACATCTTATATGGAATCTCATTCAGATTAAAAAAAAAAAAAATTCTTGACAATGGATAAGTTGCCGGCTTCATCGTCCAGATTGAACGAGGAAGCTTGGTGGGCTTCTCCATTCGATTTGAATGGAGCAGTCATGGCTTTTTCGTCATCCCTATGTTATAGGGTAATTGTTGGATTTGTTCCTACTTGTTGGTCGTGCTCACTTCTCGTCTTTAAACTATAACTAACGTTGCAAATTTAGTCATTTTTCTAACAGGCCATGCTCACTTCTCATCTAAGTTATAATTGATGTTGCAAATTTTGTCCCTAATGTTTTGTTAGAAAAATGACGAAATTTGCAACGTTAGTTATATCTTAAGGACGAAAAGTAAACACAACCAACAAGTATAGACAAATTCTACTTTAACAAAAAAAAAAAAAAATAGACGAATTCTATAATTACCTTATAACTTAGGAATGTAAAGTGTAATTTTACCTAAAAAAATTTTATATATATATTTTTATTATAATTATTGCTAAATCTTTATTACTAATTAATTATATAAATTTTAATTTATATAACATTATTTTAACATAAATAAAATAATAATATAAGTTGGAGCAAGAAAGTTTATTGGTTATTATATTTTAGAACATAAAACTTTATATTACTATTGTTATCATCATTATTAAAATAATTAGTATTATATATATATATATATATATATATATATATATATATATATATATATATATAAAGTAATTTTGTAATAGATTTTTTTCATTTAAAAATGTTTAACATATATAAAATGTTTGTTACTTATAACTTATAAGTGAAAATATAATACTTTTGAGAAAATATAATACTCTTACAGTTAAAATTTAAAAGTATGCTCTTTTTAGCATACCGACAAATCACCCGGACTTATCATAAAGAAGCTATCATATCTCATTTAAGTTGGGCTAGTCTCTTTTTGGGATTCCATACCTTGGGACTTTATGTTCATAATGATGTCATGCTTGCCTTTGGTACCCCGGAGAAGCAAATCTTGATCGAACCTATATTTGTTCAATGGATACAATCCGCTCATGGTAAAACTTCATATGGGTTCGATGTACTTTTGTCTTCAACGAGCGGGCCGGCATTCAATGCGGGCCGAAGCATCTGGTTGCCGGGTTGGTTAAGTGCTGTTAATGAAAACAGTAATTCATTATTCTTAACAAATAACAATAGGACCCGGAGACTTTTTGGTTCATCATGCTATTGCTCTGGGTTTACATACAACTACATTGATCTTAGTAAAAGGTGTGATTTTAGCCTAGCTTTCTTCCAAACATTTTTGGAATGAAATTGGCAATGATGTGGCGAATTTTGTCATTGAATGCAGGAAGGCGGACTTCCCAATAGGAATGAACGATGTTATCATCACCTTGGTGCCTAAGAAAGCTACTCCGGCGTCCATGGGTGACCTTCGCCCGATAGCTCTGTGCAACGTAACATATAAGATTCTATCTAAGATATTGTCGAATCGGCTGAAGGAGGTCCTTGAAAATGTGATTTCAGACTCACAGAGTGCGTTCTTACTGGGGAGGCTCATCACCGATAACGTACTTATTGCCTCAGAAGTCCTTCACTATCTAAACCATAAGCGGGAAGGAAGAGAAGGATGGTGTGCTATGAAGTTGGATATGGCAAAAACATATGATACGATGAAATGGTCATTCCTGGAAGGTATTATGGCTCGTATGGGATTTGATCGCCACTGGATTAACTTGATCATGCGTTGTGTCACTTCAGTTCGTTATAATGTGGGTGTCAATGGTGATCTCTCCGATTTAATCGTGCCTTCTTGTGGTTTGAGACAAGGGGATCCCTTATCTCTGTATTTGTTTATATTATGTGCCGAAGGTCTTTCTCATCTCTTAACGAGGGCGGTTCAGAATGGCTCTATTTCTCCATGTGTTGTGGCTAAGGGTGCTCTCGGGATATCGCATTTGTTCCTCACGAACAATAGCTTACTATTCTTTAAAGTTACGCGCCCGAAAGCTGAAGCAGTAACAGAATCTCTGGTTACCTACGAACATATATCCGGTCAATCAGTAAACTTCACAAAATTGTGTATTGTATATAGCCGGAATACGCATGATATTACGGAGGATGCTGTGGCAACGGTATTTAATGTAACGCAAGCTGGTAACATTGGAAAATATTTAGATTTGCCGATGGGTGTTGGCAGGAATAAGTGGGAAGCTTTTTTCTATATTGAAGCTAAATTGAGTCATCGTTTGAGCGGCTGGTGGTTAACTCGGATTGTCAGATGATCTGTAATCTGCTGAAAGGTTCATTGCCAGATTGTTCTTTCGCAGGTTGCGTTATTAGTGATTGTCGAGAACTCAAACGACACTTTGAAGTAGTGTCTATCCAGTTTATTTCTAGATTAGTGAAAAAAAAGCATGCTCACGCTTTAGCTAGAGCTGCTCGTTCACATACTGGTCCTCATTGTTGGATTTCTTCTATTCCTTCTTGTATTGCTTCTTTGATTTATTAAAATATTGTTGTTTGGTTTTCAAAAATATGTAAAAGTATCACACTTTCCTTTACAATTAACAAATGTTTTTTTTGAACAAAACGCAAAAAACTTCATTAATGATTCAGCAAATTCGAAATACTAATTGGCGGGATCACCTCCCACGTTCCAGATACATATGGAGAATCGGCTGCCCGTGCCAGTACATGAGTCACACGATTCGCTGTTCTCTTGACATATTGTAGATCCATAATTTCTATAGCGTAGATTCATAAAATTTATACTTTAGATTCGTAATTTATAAACCGTAGATTCATAATTTAAATACAGTAGATTCATAATTTCTATATACAAATTTATAATCTCTGTACTGTAAATTCATAATTTATGTACTGTAAATTCATAATTTCTAAACTGTATAGTTATCAAAAACATATAGATCTCTGATTTGTGAAAACAGAGTTCAACAATTGGAATCTAAAGTATAAATTTTATGAATTTATAGTATAAAAATTATGAATCTACAATATAAAAATTATGAATCTACATAAATTATAGATATGGAATCGTGCCCAACTTACAAGGTAGGCACGTGCTCACAGCATAATTTGCGGAAGAGCTTCTACAAGGAGTTGAAAGTCAGTCAATCCCGCATAAACAAAGCCCGTTTTATCCATGGAATTACAGAAGCTGTTGATGTTGCTGTTACGAAAGGCATCGCTTTCCATTGCGCCAATAGCGTATTGTTAGTAATCCATTTCTTTAATTCAATGCATTTTGTCTATTTGTTATGAAATTACATTACAATAATCACAACCAGCCAATGCCCATCATGCATTTCCGTCTGCTTTGTTTCACTCTTTTCACTTCACTGCTAATAAGGATCACACTGTTAGGATCGGTGTCTAAGTTTCAAGAATTCTTAGGCAGATTAATCTCCTAATCTCTTATGCAGAAAAGGGTAATCTGTATTTCCCACAAAATTTATGTTGATTTCTTGGGCACTGATTGCCCTAAAGTTTTTGTTTTTGTTTTTTTTTTTTTTTTTTCTAATTTAATTTCTTGCATCCAGTTAATTATATTTGTTCATCAGTTACTCAGTCTTATGTTTCTACTCTTTTTTGGGTGACTGAAAACCCGCACCAACTACCCGAGGGAAACCAGTATGTTGCCCATAGCTGACCGGGAAGGCCAATAGGCTACACTTGCTAGGAGTCCTTGTAATTACCAAATCAGACCAACTTGGCCAGAGTTGCCCCCTATGTTTCTACTCTTGCATACATGATTCCATGTTATTTGCTTTCTTTTTGGCCCTCCTAAACCTTTACCTGTGTTGTGTTAGAATATGACTTGTTATCAGCTTCCTAGAACAGGACTATTTTCCCTTGTGAACATGGAACAATATTGCCTTATCTTCACATGGTAGTGTATATATATGTGTGGGTTCATATCTTATAGATACTCAATCAAAAGGTATATAGCATTATGTGAATCCTAATGAACTTTAGATTCAAAGTGGGATGAAATATTTTGTTTGAAAGTGATAACATTATGTTGTTGAAGGTTTTATTTAAATTCAATGAATATCGTGAGTTTCGTTCATATATGATGAATATTTAGTTCAAGCACCCATGGATCATGGTATAATTTTCGTGTTTCGTATGTTATCCTTGTTTCTGTTTTTGTTTTCGAATATGTGTTCTCTTCCCTAGATAGTTGCTTCTTGTGTGTGTATGTAGGGGAGATTTAGAGATTATTTAGTGTTATAACACAGCAAAATACTCTATCTGGTCCTTAAAAATTGCTATGTGAGAAAAAATTGTACACGTATAACGTAATGTATGGTCAGTTAAAAGTACAATTTAGATAGCTTGTTTTCTTGTTCTTCTTTCCCATTCATACTTTTCTGCTTTCCATTTGTTATGACTTTTTAATCTTTTCAAATTCTAACAGATTAGGCAATAATGAATCCAAACATTTAGGAGGATTCTTCGATTGATGATCAGGTAGAAAAAGTGTTTCAGTGATGCTAAAGTTTTTCTGTCTCGGTATCAAATCCGCCAAGTATGAAAGGCGAAGTCTTGAGAATAAATGTGCAAGTGAAAGTGATGGCGAGAAGACTTCAGGTTCGGGTCTCAACTCTGATCTGTTTCTGCCCAATGAGATTATTATCGAAATCTTGAGCTGGTTGCCCGTGGACACATTATTGAGGGTAAAATGTGTGTGCAAGTCGTGGCGTGCTACAATCCAAGACCGCAACTTCATTGAGAAACACATGAGCAGAGCCAGAATCGTTGTGGAATGCGCTGCAAAAATGAGTGATAATAACGGGAATGAGAAACCGTACGAATGGCAGTGTGTTCGAGATGGATTAGTGCTGGAGAGGAGGAACGTGTTCCCAAAATACCGTATAAGGAACCCTGCTACAAAACAAAAGCTTGACCTGCCTAATCCACACGGACCACTGCTGTTTATTAGTATGTTTTTCCTCTCGACCAGTAATGACTATAAGGCGGTTTATATCCATCACAAAGAAGGAACCACTTCTTGTGCTGCTGATGTTGCTGTTCTAACTATTGGTACCGATTCTTCGTGGAGATCCCTTGATATTCCTAGCTTGCATAATATGAAGAGCCAGAGAGGGCAAATTCTTCGCAAATCAATTGCTGAAGTCTACTATATTATTGTATTGAGAGACTACGAAATTGTTTGCCTCGAGATGGAAACCGAGAACTTCACAAGCGTTCAAATCCCAGAGAGGTTGTTCCCGGATTGGAACAACATCCACCCTTTAAACTGGAGAGGGAAGCTAGCACTCGCATCTGTCGTGGGAGAGAAGATTAACATTTGGGTGTTGGAAAGCTACAAGAAGCAAAAATGGGAAAACGTAAAGGTCGTTTTTCCCTTGCCCTTGGATTCAATCACGAATGACAACCTTATTCCTTTCGAAACAAAAGGCGACTGGTTACGGATTAGCGTTAACTATGAACACCGAGTTGCTTATAACATGAGGACCAATAGAGTCTCCACGCTCATCTCAGCGCCACCTGGACAGAAGATTGCGTTCGTGTATAAACCTTCCTTGGTGCACTTTAAAGGAATGACTCCGGTACAAAACTAGACCAAATCAGAAACTTCAAGGTATCGTCTTTCTTCCCTTCCTCAAAGAGGACTCAAAGACAGTTGGGTTCTTCATTACTGCCATTGTTGCTTCTTGTTTCAGGTTGACTGCTGATCATGATGGCTAGGATGATGTATGTATGTTTCATCAATGGCTCTCCAGAACTCTTTCTCCTTTCAACTATAGTTTCTGGGCTTTGCTTGAACATTTAACACTTTAAGGACTTCAGAACTATTGTTCTTTTCTGTCTTAGTGCTCTAGTGTGCTTGTTCTTTTTGAAAACATATATTATGGTGTGAATATATACTTAAGAAAGCACTTTTAGTCAGGCAGAAAATATACAATTTCATGATTTTAAAAGGATCTCCAAATTCTCTATCCATCCGTGCCCATTCGGGAATTCTTGTTGACAATATTAAAACTTTTTCGGGAAATTTGTTTAATGTAATCTTCTCTTTTGTTAAGCGTTCAATGAACGCAATAACTCACATATAGAGTTATTGTTTCTTTGATTGAATGTAATGTTGGTTCGATGTTTCGCCACTATCATTTTGGATAGTTTGAGACTTGATATGAATTAATGATCTTTCTTTTTTCAATAATAATAATAATAATAATAATAATAAATCTCCAAATATCCCATTGTTTAGAGGTCAGCAAGGCTACACCATGATTGCCATCATTGGGTTTGTTTATTATCCAATTTTGAATAAATTTCACTTTTGGTCCCACGACTTTTGATGTTCTATCACTTTTGGTGCACAACTTTAAATTTTTTTAATTTTGGTGCCTAACTTTGTTATTTTTATCAGTTTTGATCCTTTTGGCAAAATTGATTGCAAAATGTTGCTGAATTTTATATTTTTAGGGGTAAAATCGTCATCACAAGGAAACATCTTCAATATCTTAACAAAAGCACTGTAAAATCATATTTATAGGCGATTGATCGATGAGAATAATGGGGAAGACGGGCAGAAACCAGACAAATTTATGGAATTTATAGTTTCGACGATTGAAAAACTCTTCGTTTCCTCTTAATATGATTTTTCTTTTGTTTAAATATTGAAGTTTTTTCCATGGGATGACGATTTTGCCCCTAAAATATAAAATCTGAAAATATTTTACCGTCAATTTGGTTGGAAGGACCAAAACTGATAAAAATAACAAAGTTAGGCACCAAAATTGAAAAAATTTAAAGTTGTGCACCAAAAGTGATAAGAACTCAAAAGTCGTGGGACCAAAATGAAATTAATTCTCCAATTTTAGGTTAAAGTAGGGCACAAGAGCATACACGTATAAGTACTGATACAAATACTATTCTTTACTTTTTAATAAACATCTGACCGCATAGCGCAGTGGATTAGCGCGTCTGACTTCGGATCAGAAGGTCGTGGGTTCAACTCCCACTGTGGTCGATTTTTCATAGTTTTACGCCAGCGCCTAATCCAAATTACACTTCTACCCCCCATACATACATGTGATAAAAATATTTAAGATTTCCTTAGCTCGGTAATTCCTTAAAATTACATTTTCTTTTGAAATATTTTTCTACAACTAAATCACAAAACATATTTTGCACTTTGGCAACATTGCTCAAAAAAAATTAATTCAACATTTAAATAATTTAGCAACATATTTTAGTATCCTTCAATTGGTAATTCATCCATTCAGTATTATATTGAAAATAATATTCACCTAAATAAATTAGAAAATATATTATCTAATAAATTAATCAACTTTAATTCAACACTTAAATAATTTAGCAACATATTTTGGTATCCTTCAATTGGCAATTCATCCATTTAAGTATTATATTGAAAATAATATTCATCAATTTGTCTAACAACACTATATCAATTCCTAAATAAATTAGAAAATATATTATCTAATAAATTAATCAACTTTAATAAAATATTTAACTACAAAAATATATTTAAATACATATTATTGGATATATTAGACCCAGACCAAGATTATAAAGCTACTAAGCCCAAGTGAAAAAAATTAAGGACTTGTTTTGAGACAAGGGAGCTCGACAACCAACCTTAGGGTTGGCCTAAGGTTGGTTGGCCTGAGTCGGTGAGGTTGGACCGGCAAAGCAAGGAGGACAAGTCGCGCATGACACAATTGGCCATGCAAGGATGTCAGAACGGCAAAATACGATCAATTAATGCAGTTGTAATTGCCTGGTCCACATGCATGGAACAACGTCGGGTTGAGCGGGTAGTTGTCTAGATATACTTTAAAAAAAAAAAAAAAAACAACGCACTTGTCTTGTCTAATCATCTCATGTCCTATTGAAACACACTATTGTAATATCCTAACAATTCAATACAACATTCATCTTACCTTGTCTTAGTAGTACACAATGTTTGTAACTTTTGAACCATCTTTGCTAATATTATTCTTGTCCTTTATGAGCATTCTTCTTGTCTTTATGTTTTTATTCTTTCATTTAATTGGATTAGTTAATTTGGTTCGATCCGACTTTTTTTTTTTTCAACACGCACATATATACACACACAATAAATATTATAACATGGCCGAAGAAGTAGTTTTTGTCAAAACAGGGTGCAATCTCTATCTCTATCTCTATATATATTAAAGTAAAATGATGGCTACAAAATTTTTCCTCCAAAGTGTGAATGCATTTTGATAGAAACAAGATTAACAAGTATGAATGCATTAATTGTGTGGGTAGATGTATTTATGCATATTTTTTGAAGTTATTATGTGTATTTATATTTTATAAATTATATTTTATTATATCTCTATCTCTATCTCTATATCTCTATATATATTAAAGCAAAATGAAGTAGGGAAAAAAATTTATTGGTAAAGTTTTATATTTAATATAATTTGTGTGTGTGTGTGTGTGTGTGTATATGTATATATATATATATATATATATATATATATATATATATATATATATATATATATATATATATATATATATGTATGTATATATATATATATATGTATATATGTATATATATGTGTGTGTGTATATATATATATATATATATATATATATATATATATATATATATATATATATATATACACACACATATATATACATATATATATATACATATATATATATATATATATATATATATATATATATATATATATATATATATATATTCATTTAAACCTCAATTATAATTAATTTGATTCCGCATATATAAAAAGAAGAAATTAGATATAAAATAAACATATACTTCTTACATAAATAATCTTTTTCAAATGAATAAATTTTTTGTGGAGATTTTCGACAAATATTGCCTCTTATTTTATTTATAAATTTTATTTAAATACGTTAGTTATATAATTAAAGTAGTTATTTCAAATTCAAATTCAAAAAATAATACAAGTAACAATAAACTTTAAAATCAACATAATAATAACATAATTAAACTTTTAAAAATATTAAATATTACATTGTATAGTTATACTTACATTTTTAATAAAACTAATTATGAGCTGAAGAACTCAAGTACGTTTTTCTGTTTCCACAACCATTACTTTCTTTGCTAATTTTAAAGGATGTCAAAAATTTAATTGGTAAATTTGTTAAATTAGTAATACTCCGTGCATCGCATGTGATATTGTTGGTTTTTCTTTTTTCTTTATTATGTATTTTTTAATTTCGTTGTGAGGTGTGTGGGGGTTGTTGGGGGGGGGGGGGGGGGCTGGGGAGCACATGATGTTATCTTCAATGTGAAGTTGTTTTGAAGTGTTGATTGCTTTTGAGATCCACATCCTTTAAGATAGCTACTTTGAGATTCATCATGAAGAATAATTGTTTTTCAAATTTTTTTGTTAATTTAATAAATGTATTCTTATTATTGTATAGCTACTTGTTCATCAAGGAAAGGTAATGACATGCGGAACTAACACACAAAGAAAGTGTCTTTTGAATTTAAAATAATTATTTTATACTTCATCAAAATAACGTTAGATTTATATTAAAGTTAATTAGTTACAAACACACCTAATGTACGATAAAAATTTTCAATGAATAAAATTAAAGCTAAAGCTATATAATCAAAATGTAAAAAGTTGTACTTACTAGTCACTACTTGTGTAGGAAAATGTTGTAAAAGTATATATAAAAAATGTAAAACTGAAAGAATTTGCAAGTATATATATAAGAAAGTAAGTACAATGTATACTTTATTATATTTAATAGTGTTAACAACTTAGGTCGAAAAAGAAAAAAAAAAACAAAAAAAAAAGAATAAAATTAAAAATTATGTGACTTTACAAGAGAGCAAATATAAATGTACAAGTTAACATTGTATCTAATTACATCGGCACATTTTTATTCCCATCGTTTATATAATTTTAAGATTAACAAATCATACTTTTATTGAATAATGCTAAATACTCGTGAATTTTTGTAGACAAATTTGTGCATATTACTTGTGTAGTTAAGCTGCTTCATTTGGTTCATTCCTAATAAAATCAACAAGTTCATAAATGATGGATAGACATACGAAAAAGAAATTATGAAACTTAGACATTTCCAATGGTTAAAAAAAATGGGGATGAAGAAGGGGAAAAAGGAGAGAATAGGATTGAATGAGAGAAAGAGGGAGGAGCTGAGGAAGACAGTTTTCGGAGAGACAGTCTTCCAGGGCGCGTGGTGAGTGAGTAACACACGCGAATCGCGTATTCACGTAGTGCGTGTCGCTCACGCGCCATAGAGACGTGCAAATGGTGGGGGACAGCCTGTTCCCAACCATCTGCTATATATTAAAAAAAAAATATTTTATAAACCAAAATCAAGCTTCAACGACTTTTTTTTTTTTAATTTTATTTTGTTATTTTATTTTTTAAATTTATTTTTAAAATTTTATTTCAAATTTTGTATTTTGTTATTCAATTTTATTTTCATTTAAATTAAAATTAAATTAAAATTATAAAATTAAAATTATTAATTATAGAAAAGTAAATAAAATAATATATGATGTATAGGAGTGCAGAGAAGTATGACCCACAAAAAGGGAGAAAATGAGAGAAGAATTGGAGAGGAAATAGAAGATAAGATTATATGGTGATATGGAAGAGTTGGACCCACAAATTGAAAAGAAAATGGAAGAACCATTGTGGATGTCGTTATCAACATGTTCAAATTCAAGTATGGCAAATTCCCAATAGTTACATGTGTAGCATCACTAAGAAAAAAAAATAAAAAAAATATTGCCAACACACTTTCTTGGTCGAGTCTATTAGACATGGTCTTTCTATTATGGATTTGCATATGTTATGTGATTTGTGAGCTATTACACATGCACATAGTTTATCCATTCTATATTCTTGAGTAGTGATTGAGAGTTTTCATCTTCTCTCTCACAAAGATACAAATCAAAAGAATTTCAGAAACCATGAGTAATAAGCATTGCATATAAAAGGGGCTAACCTAACTGAGTTGGTTTAGTTATCACAAGGTTTCAAATTTGACTCTCTATAAGAGCTACAT